TTCCTTGACGTAGATAATCTCTTTATTCAAGGGAGGGATTATTTTTATAAAATGTACTGATTATTGGAATAAAAATAAATATATTTATCTACCTGTTATTTTATGTCGATCTCGAGAAAAAAATATTTTTTAAAACAATGTTTTTAATTTTTAAAATTTTTGTTTTTCCTGTTAATTTATTTTTAATTGTTTTTACTTCTTGGAGATGTGTGTTGTCTTTGGAGCTTTCTGTGAATTCAACCTTGTAGGTTTTCTTATGTTAATATTTAATAGAGTTCGGAACCGGCCTGGGACCGAGGTTTTCCTTGGCAAATAGACCGGAGGCCGGTATTTTGATAAAATTAGATTTTTGGGGGTTTCCAGGGTTTTTAGGGTTTAGTCAGGAAAACCTGGCCCTTATCTGATTAGAAGTCGAACTCTTAAAGATTTAAAATAATTTTTAAAATTTAGATGGCTATATGTCAACATTTCTTCACCAATCAATGTCCTGAGCTTTCCAATGCACAGAAGATTTAATCCACCATCCACAATTTTGAACAATAGTTTAACAGTTTCCGATTTTTTGAAGAAGAAATATTCTGATTTTGCTCCAAATAAAATTCAAAAAAGGCAGACAAACTCTTCTGTGGCGCAAAATGTTTCTTACAGTTTAAATTTGTCTGATTATGGAAATGTAAGGTTTTTTTAGTTTTGGGATTTTTTGGGGAAGGAAATTGTTTTTTTCGTGGCCTTGCCTGTATGAAAGGTTTCGGGTTTCGTTATTTTCGCTAATTTTTCCTTTTTTGCTTCATAACGAAACATTTTTTTAAAATTCCGTTTCATTAACGAAGCGGGTTTCTTAAAATTTTTGGTTCGTTTCGTTTGTCGTAAAAATTTTTTGAGTTTTGCACAGGTCTGGTCTGTGGACTGGTTTTTCATTTTTCTAATTTTAGACTCAATATTACGGCAAAATCGAAATTGGAAGTCCTCCACAACGATTCAATGTTCTCTTCGATACAGGCTCTTCCAATCTTTGGATACCCTGTTCTAACTGTAATAACACTGCGTGTATTCAACACAATTCCTTTAAATGTTCAAATTCAACTACTTGTTTGCATACTGGAAAAAGTTTTACTATAAACTATGGAACTGGAAGTGCTACTGGGGAATTGTTGAATGATACCGTTTGTGTAAATTTTAATTTTTCATTTATTTGCGGGTGTTGCCTCTAAGAGTATGCCCCTTTTAGCGATTGGCTCAGAAAATCGCTAATTTAGGAAAAACATTTAAACAAATTTATTTACTTTAATTTAATTTAACAAATACATTAAAAAGTGTGGTGAATAAAGGAAAGGTGTCTAATGGGAAAGTCCGCATAAAGTGAAAAGTTGCTAGGAAAAATACAAGGAAGAAGCAATGAAGTGAGAAGAATAGTGAACAGTACAATTAGTGGGAAAAATGATTCTCTTTTAAAGGGAATAAAAAGGATAAGTTTTTAAAGATAAAAACTTTAGATAAAGAAATTATGTGGGAAAATGTTGAGGAATGTAAAATGGATGAGTAATTACAAATTAATAATTGTAAATTAATTATAATTTCGCGTTGAGAAACGCGACACTCCCGGGCCAACAAATGGTTGGACAGTAATAAATTGGAAAGGCAAGAGGGGTGTTGCGGGAGTTAAAATTGGTACCCATAATGTAGGGTTTTTTCCCTAATATTTAAAGAAATCCTAATTCTCAATTACAATTAATTCAAAATCCCCTTCTAATGATTTGCCTCCCCTTCCCCTTCCAATGCCCTTCCAATTCACCTTCCAAACCCCTCTCTAATATGTTGAATACCCCTTTGAAAGTTGATTGGAAATAAGCTGTTCCAATTGAATGCCTCTTTCAATAGAAGGCCTCTCTGGAGGATGATAATTAAAAAATAAATTTTTAGTTTGGCAATGAAAGTTTGGGTATCTGCACGGATTCCAATCAAGGATTTGGTTGTGCAACAAGTGAACCTGGGTCAACATTTGAAGTTTGCTTGTTTACTTTTTAATTTTTAAACTTTGCCCTTATAGGATGTTGCTTTTGATGGTATTCTTGGAATGGCTTGGAATTCAATTTCTGTGGGTCTTGTCAGTCAGCCATTGTCTCAAATATTCAAAAATCATCAACTTTGCGCTGAAAAACGTTTTGCTTTTTGGCTTACCAATGACAATTATGATGTCACCAACAGCACCATTGGAGGTGAATTTACCCTTTGCGGGACTAACACTGAGCGATACAAGGTTTCTAAAGAAACTAGAAGTGAACTTCTATTTTTTATTTTAGGAACCAATCTTCTGGTGTCCTTTAATGTCAACCGATTATTGGCGCTTAAGGTGAAATATTTTAGTATTATTTATAAGATCATACCTTCTTTTAAAGCCTTACATCGGTCAGTTTGGACTCTCTTGTATTATCATCCTCCAATGCTTCAGCAATTTTGGATACTGGAACTTCTCTCATAGCTGGGCCTTCCTCAATCATCAACAAAATCAACGAAAAAATTGGTGCCCAAAATTATCTTGGAGGTTGGCTAAATTTAAATTGCTCAACTCTCAATAAACTTCCTTCTGTTAATTTTACACTTGGTGGAAATAATTTTACTTTGGATCCAGCAGATTATGTCATTCAGGTTTTTTTAACAAAAATTGAATTTTTATTGTTCAATTTTTTGAAGATAGATAAAACTACGTGCCTAAGCGGATTTGCGTCAGTCGATTTAAGTGGAAATATGTGGATTTTGGGCGATTTATTTATTACAAAATGGTATACAATTTTTGACCATGAAAACAAAAGAGTTGGATTGGCTGAGGCTATTTGACAAGTTTTTTGTTTTTAATTCTTTCGAAAATATACCTGTCATTTTTAATCTCTCAAATATGTTTTTTCTGTTCCCAACTTTTTTATTGTTTTTATCTAAACGATTTAATCCCTCAAAAATAAGCTGGGCTAGAAAGATTTGTTAGTCGGGTCGTTTGAGAATCGGGATAGATATCTCGAAAAATCAGGATATCAATAACCGAAACCTTTATTCGAGATCTGGTCTCGGCTCGTTTCTAATCTGGATTATTAATTTAATTAATATTTATACTTAAAATTTATACTTAAACTTTTTAAATTTTTTTTTCTTTCTTTGCCTAACAATAAGCCTCTGTATTTATTGATGTAAATTTTGTTTTTTCCTTTAATATTTTATTTTTTTATTTATTGTATAAAATTTTTTGAAAAATTTGTTAATTAAACCTTATAGTTAGTTTATTACTAAAATATATCGTTAAATCTCTCATTGCTTATTTAACGTGTTTTTTTAATATTTTTGCAGCTCTACAAATTCATGACCGACCTAAAAAGTACTTGTTGTTGTGGTGATGGGCGCTTGCATTTTTTTATTCAATATTGAAAAGGTATTTATTTAAAATAATTAAATATCACAAGAAAATAGTTCAAAAACTAGAGATTGGACTTTACGTTAGTATTGACATTATTTTTCGGTATCTGCCGGTATTCTGTACGGTAGTACGTTTTGGAATACGATGCGGTAAAAGCTTGAAGCTTATCGGTGTTTTTTAATATTACGTACGGAATACTACAAAATTCTTATCTCTAGTTCAAAACTTGATAATTTTTGTTGAATCTGTCTTGAGTCACCAGCCTTTTTTTATTTCAATTTTTAATTAAATCTCGCAATCCCCAAAGGGGTTTCTGCGCGTTTTTCTCAAAAAAAATTTTTGGAGGCTTATTAAGACGGCCAAAACATGTTTACTTCCTTCATTATTTTCTCAACATAATTTCATTATAACACAATATCCGGTGCCACATGGGTTAATTTTTTCCCTTTTTTGAATTTGATTCTTTTTTTAAGCATATTAGTGCATTCTTCCTTTTTTATATTTTTATTCATTTCCTTATTATTTGCCCAAAAAATAATGCGTGGATTTTTTACGAAATAATTGTAGTGAAATTGATTTTTTAATTATTTAATCTTGAAGATCGACATTTAGGTGAAGAAATATTTTTTCCGAGGGTATTTGTTAGATTTTAAATAATAGTTACTAGCTGTTTGGAGAGATGTTGGCGGATTTGGATTTTCATCCAGAAAAGGGGGAAAAAGAGATACTGAAATGGGATCTCCGGGATTTCCCAGAATCCGTCAATTCTCCTAGTAGTCCGGGGTGATTTGCGGGGTACCTAATTTAATTATATTTTTTTATTTTATTTAAAAAAATAATGCAACGTTTTTTTCTTTTATTCCTTTTTTAATATTTTTTCGTTTTTCTCTAAAATATCAATATCACCAAAAAAATATTTTCTATCAACATTTTCATGTAGAACCAATAGGTTTTGAATGAAATTTAAATAACAAAATAATATGTAAATAATATAAATACATTTCTCTATTGTTCATTTTCCAACAAATTTTAATGTCGAGTGGAAAATAAGCATTTAAAATTGTTTTAAACTTTTTCTTTTTACTTTTTTAGTTTGACCCTCTTGAATTAAGCTAAAACTAGTAATTGACCAGTCCACTTGACGTTTATACTAATTTTAAAATATTTACAAACCAAACAAAGATTGGGGGTTTGGGGTCTTGAAAATATTTTTTGGAAGAAAATTTTTAAGTTGTTACTCTTCTTTAATTAGAATTTGTTTATAAATTCTTTGGACGTTTCGTGAAAAAAATTTTTCTCCTAAATTGTTTAAATTTTTTTCTAAAAATATTAAAATTTCTGTCTTGTCATTAAACTTATGGGAGATCAATCCATCTTCATATTTTATTTAATTCTACATATATCAAAGTACATAAATTTAATTTTTGTACGAAAATTTATGTATTACTCTACAAAATTTTTTTTTATTTTTCCATTTTAATTTTCGTTTTATTCATATGCCCATCAACACTTTCCCCCTCCAAAAACATTCTTTTGATTAATTAAATTCGGTCGCCTAATTAATTGATAACCGTTTTATGTGCACTTTATTTTTATTGCGCGGTCATTTTATTTTTCTCGATTTCTTTTGTTTTTATATTTTCAATCTTTGCAACATAAAATCGCTCTAAAATTAGGATTATTGACTTTAAAGGGATCAGCTCAGAATTAAGTGATATAGGGGTAAGGGATAAGAAATAAAGGGTAAGGGAAATTAAGGGATATAAGACGGAAATTAAGATCAGGTAAAAGCGAGAAGTTTTGTCTTAAATCCCTTTTATCCACCTAAATATTTGCTGTGGAGTCATTTGACCTTCCGTGTTTGACCTTTCGGGGTGGATTCGACTTAGAAATTTTTTTAACAAAATTTTCTTTTTTTAAGCAAAAAATTGAACAAAAATGGACGTAAATAAAAATACTAAAATTGAAGACAAAAATAAAATTGAGGATAACAACAGTTGTGATCACCAAGAAAAATGGAGATCGGCGGCCATTGAAGAAGATTTATGGGATATGTCCCGCAGAAAACGAGTTAAAGAAGTGTTGGGTTCTAATGATTTTCGGAGTGAATTAGAACAAATGTAAATTTGTTTTTTTGCAATTTTTTTAATTAAAAAATTTTTTTCAGCGTTTGCCCAGACATTGCAAGATCCTTTCCAGAAGATTTGAACAGTGCAATGGCCTCTTTAAACATTCAGACAGCTAATTATTCTCGTTTACCTCAACTTTTGCCTTTAAATGTCAACCAAGTTTTAAGTAAAATTTTAGTTATTTTTTTAATCGAGAATTTATCAGGGATATCACAGATTATCCGAAACCTCATACGCGATCCGAAAATTTTTTTTGAAAAGCCTAGCCAGAAACTCGACTCGACTTTTTCCCTTTTGATTACCCCAACTGACCTGAAACCTGACTCGAGAAATTTTCTAGAACCTGACCCATTCTATTTTCTTAATCCGTGATATCCCTGGTCTATATATTCTATCTGATACTTGTAAAGATTTAAAAGTTTTCGGACATTTCCTCCTATTTCTCTCGATTTGCTTATTCTATTGAATCAATCTAACCGGTTATTTTTCCACTAAAATAAATACCCGTAAAAAAGCCTCAATCTTTACAAGTATTTTTTTATTTATTCAGGCACTCCACCAATTAAAATCGCAGATATTGCCCGTAATAATAATTTATATTCGTTGGAAGAAAAACAACAAAGAAATAAATTGGCTACAATTTATAGACTTGTGGATCTTTTTCAATGGTCACAGGGGATTTATAATCATATAACGGTATGGGGAGAATTTTCAATTTTTTTCACAAATTTTTTTAAGCTTCGCCTTCCTGGAACTGACCCTGCTCAAGTTTTAATTAATCCATTTGGATTGCTCTACAATGAAGTAACTGCCTCTTCGCTCATTAAACTCAGTTTATCCGGAGATGTGATAGACCAAGGCTCTACAAATTTGGGAGTTAATCAGGCTGCTTATGTTCTTCATTCAGCTATTCATGAGGCTAGACCAGGTTAATTTATTTTAAAATACTTAAGAAACTTTTAAGAAAATTTAAAAAAGTAAAAAATTGTCAAAAATTGAAATGTAACCCCCACAAAGAAAATGTCACCCCTCCCCACCCTCTTTGACATTTCACCGGCTTTGGTGAGAGGTGCCTGACATTTCAGCGTTTTGACTTTAAAACATCATCAAAAAATTTAATCAGAAATTCACCATAATACCTTTCAATTTCTCATTAAGAAATTTATTGTTATTCCCACTTGTTTAGATGTTCATTGTGTCATTCATTTGCATACGGCCGTTGTTGCTGCTGTTAGCGCCATGAAGTGCGGATTATTACCAATTTGTCAGGAAGCTATGATCATTGGCCCTGTAGCTTATCATGATTATCAGGTTTTAACTTTTTGTTTGGCAACTTTTTATAAAATATTTTTAGGGAATTTTGACTGATGATGAGGAGAAAAAGTCAATAGTTAGCGATTTGGGCGATAAAAATGTAAGGTTATTTTAAAAATTCTAATTAATTTACAGTATAACTAGAAAGTTAATTTTCTTCTAATTTATAGGTGATGATACTTCGAAACCATGGTTTTGTTGCATGTGGTCGAACAGTGGAGGACGCTCTACATCTGGCATTTCATACGTATACTATTTTACTTTTATTTAGAGTTCGACATTTTCAAATAACCGGGCCCTACTTTCCCGATTTTTTCCTTCAGGTTGTCCTAGACTGGGGTTTCCGTGTTAAACCCTGATTTTATCAGAGTACTCGGTTTCTGGACTACAGTGCTAGTAAAACAGAGTTCGGGCCCGGTGTCGAACTCTACTTTTATTATTAAATAAATATTTAAAAAAAATTTTTAGGATTATTTCATGTGAAACTCAGGTTTGTAATTAATTTTTGAACTTTTATAACATTAAATTTGCTAATTTTTAAGATCAGAGCTGCACGCGTTGGAATTGACAAATTAATTATACCTTCTGATGAAGCAGTCCAAAAAGCTTATTCTACGGCTAGAAGTGGAGGTTTCTTTTTTAAATTTTTTAAATAGAATTTAAGAAGAAATTATAGGTGGTGGAGGAGTAAATCGAATTCAACAAAATTTAACTGCCAACATTTCTTGGGGTATTGGAGAACTTGAGTGGGAAGCGTGGTGTAGGATTTTGGACACAGCGGTTAATATTTTAGTTTTTGAATGAATTTTGAAAATTTTTCGAATTTTTAAAAACGAAATTTCGAAAAAAATTTTTTTTAATTTTCGAAAAAATTTTTTTAATTTTCTTATTATTTAAAGGGATTTTGTACTGGACACATTTATCGAAATAAATTGCTTCGTTCAACATCACAGCCTTCCCATCATTCAATGTATAATCTGTCAAGTATAGCAACTCCATCAAATGGACCAGCATCGCTGGGAACTGTACGTCGCTAGATTTTATAAAAAATGAAAATAAGGAAGACTGTGAGGAATTCTTAAAAAAAAGTGCCATCCGCTCGCTCATGTTATCAAAAAAAATTTAGAATAAAATATTTAAAAAGAGGTTTTTTATCTTTATGGTACTTTTTGGATATTTCGCCTTCCTAGTTGGAGTCCCAAGTTTTGCTTAAAAAATTTTTTTAAGGAGTAAATCGAACTTTACTTCCTCAATTCTACTCCATTTGACCTGTGGCATAAATATTCAAATGAAAGACATTAATAAAGAAAGGAAAAGTCTTACCGTTATGTACATCTTAAGGATAACTCTGAGACTCAGCCTAGATGGAGGAGATATTCAAAAAGTACCATCTTCCCTAACATAAGATCCATTTTTCTGGACTTTTATTTTTAAAAATTTTTGTTTTTAAATCAATTTTAACATAAAATTTAATTTTTGTCCCTAGATTGAAGAAGGAACATCAACATCATCAAATTGGCGTCTTTCCTTGCTTCTTCAAAAAGAAAAAGAGAAGGCTATTTGGTTAAATTCGCCTTGTAATTATTTAAAAGTGCAACTACCAGAGACGGGAACTGATTGTCCTCGATTAATTACAAGAGTATTTTTTAAATTAAAAGGGTCTCAAAATTTTTTCTTTTAAGTGGGTTGAGCAGCAAAGCGTCAGTTCCAAAAGTGGCACGCCGGTGAAGATTAATTCACCCTTGCAGTTTAGCCCTAGCAGTTTGGATATGCGGGAATTCAGAGAAAAAAGAAGAAAATTGAAAGAGGCTAGAATGAGTGGAAAAGTTTCACCTGGCCCTCAGTCATTAGTTCTTGATGGATTGACATTAACGGACATTGAAGGGGTTTGTTTTTTTAAATTTGTTTTGAGAATCGAGTCCCGGGCCTATAACTCAAGTTCAGAAAATTAAAATTCTTGACTGATCGATCTACATAAAGGTTAAGATCTAAAGACTAAAATTCTGAAAAAAGTAATTTTTCGAAACTATCGATTATAATCTCTCTATCGGTCATTCAAAAATTTTGATTTTTTGGTACCTTGTATTATTTTTAATTCTCTATCCAGTGGCATCAAGAACATTAACAAGTGATTCTTATGTTATAGGGTCCAGGACTCATTGTCAGCTAAATCGAGACTCACCCCCAACATTGTTTAATTAAAAATAATTAATAGGAAAAACTACGTCCAGTTTATATTGGCGCTGCTTCCAAAGGAATAGTTCAAAAAGATCAACAGATTAATGCACAGGTTTTTTGAAGAAATTTTTAGAGTTTCTCAATTTCCTCTTCCCTTCACAGGTTTATAGAAAACTTTATTCAGCAAATCCATTCAAAAATGATGATCATTTTAATAACGGATTGGAAAATTATTTGAAAAAATTTGGAGAAGGAAAAATAAAAAAATCACAAAGTAATTATTGTGGGATGAATGGAAATGTTAATGATACACCAACAAATATTATTGTCAATTCACAGTCAGTACCAATAACTCCTATTCATTCAGTTAAAGAAAATGGTGGAGGAAGTCAGAAAATTATATGCGGTTAGTTGTTTATAATTTTGGAATTCTGATTTTAATTCTGATTTTTAAAAAGCAAATTCAGAATTTTTGAGACAGTTAATCTTGAAACCAGAATTGTTTTTAAATCAGAATACACATAGTTTCAAGACTTCTGGTTCCAAAAGTCTGATTTTTTAACCAGAAAATTCTGATTTTTTTAAAGCCAGAATTCTGATTCTTTTCAATATTTTGATAACCATAATTCTGGTTTTTTTTGAATCCGATTTAAAAATCAAAATTTTATTTTTAAAATCAGAAAAAATTTCCCCCCTTTTCAGATAAACACTCACTAATAAAATCAACTGAAAGAAGTACATCAGATGCTGGAATAAATGGAAAAGGAGGAGGAGGGGAATTTTTCAAAAATGGAAAGAACAATGGAACAATTGAAGCTTCGTTTAAAAAAGAGGTTTTTATAAATGAAAAAAATTTTTTTGATGACTTTTCTAAGTTAAATGGAAAGAAGAGACGTTGGAGAGAATTTTTTCTTTTTAGACGAAAAAAGAGCGGTTAAAATTGAAAAAAGATAGAAAAGTGATAGAATTTTATTTTAATGATCTCAATTTTTTTAATTTTTTTTTGTTTTAAATAAATTTTCTTTGCATGTGATTATTTTCAGACTTGATAGATTTCGAATCTAATAAAAATATTTTGGTTTACCGGATTGTCTCTAATAGAAGCCCACTCATTGAGGGGTATTGAAAAATAGAATATAGCTTGTGTTAGAGACGATCCGGTAACTGATTTCCTTGTCTAATTCCTTAAATGGTATGATGTTATAATGCCAAAAGCTTGTAATGCCAAAGCGTGTAATGCCAAAAGCTTATAATGCCAAAGCTTGTAATGCAAAAAGCTTGTAATGCCAAACCCCCAAAAGCTGTTGAAATGCCAAACCGTGGAAAATAGCTTGTAATGCCAAACCCCCAAAATATATTGAAATGCCAAAGCGTGGAAAAAAGCTTGAAATGCCAAATAAATACAAAACTAGAAAATTTTTTGTTATTTCTGATAAAATTTGTTGTTAAAATTTTGTTTGTTCCAACAACAAGGATGTTGTTGTTCCAATTGAATGTTCGCTGGAAAAACTCCAGGCCGGGCATGCGGGGAGGGGCCGGCACTACTGGGAATGTTGTTCAAATTGTGGGGAAAATTGTTCCAACGGTTGGGGGAGTTGTTCCGACTATAGGGAAAGTTGTTCCAACGACGGGGGATGTTGTTCAAATGACGGGGACGGTTGTTCCAGTGATGGGGGAAGTGTGATGTTGATCCCCCGTTGACGGACCAACTTCCCCGTTGACGGATTAACTTCCCACGTTGACGGATTAACTTCCTCCATTGACGGATCAATATCCTACGTCATTGGAACAACTACCCCCGTCGTCGGAACAACATCCCCCGTCATTGGAACAACATTGTGTTGGAATAATGTTTGGCATTTCAACATATTTTGGGGGTTTGGCATTACAAGCTATTTTCCACGGTTTGGCATTTCAACATCTTTTGGGTGTTTGGCATTACAAGCTTTTTTCCACGCTTTGGCATTTCAACAGCTTTTGGGGGTTTGGCATTTCAAGCTTTTTTCCACGCTTTGGCATTTCAACAGCTTTTGGGGGTTTGGCATTACAAGCTTTTGGCAATATAAAACGCTCCGCCTTAAATTCAACTGTGGTCGCCACGAAATGTTCTGCGACAACGTGGTTGCGGCGAGGTGATAACGAAAGAGTGAACGCGACAAGCTGGTAACGACAAAGCAGGTTCTTTTTTTGTCCATAACATTTTCACTTTAATATCGTAGTTACGTGATTTTCTAATTTTTTAAAATTTTTCTTAATTCTTTAAAATTTTTCTTAATTCAATATTTCAAGGTGGAATGCAATATCGATAGTTGCTCGACTGGAAGAGCAATTTACAATCTCTCAATTAAGCAAAAGATGGACGTATTCTCCATATCTTCTCCAAATTGGTGGTCTCCTTGCTTCATGTTTGATTTATTATTTTTTCATTTTATTTTAGAAATTCAATCTGTGTGTATTTTCTCATCAGAAATATATGTAGGTGTGGTGGTCAATTCAAAAATTGAGCGACGATCATTTAGTGGTGGACGATATTTGATAGAAGGAAATCTTGAAGTACTTGAGAAGAATCGGAGAGGAACGAGAAAAATGAGGCGGTAAGAAAAATTGGGTTAAAAATGGATGGGACATAAATTCTTAAAAAAAAAGTCCGCATTAAATCGACCAAAACAAGACGAATATTTTGCTTTTTTTATAGTTTTTTGGTTTTTCAAAAAAATTTTTTTCAGAACAAATGACTCGTCTTCAGTTTTTGACGTTAATTTTACTTGCTTCCCAACATTGTAAGGTTTAAATTTTGTAAAAAAATTTTTTTTTAATTTTTAGTGATAAATTGCAATAACCCTCTAAATTGTAATCCTAATTCTGAATCATTGTTCGTCGAAGATCCAACAGATAGACAGGCGTTTTTCAGCTGTAAACCTTATGTGAATTATCCGTGAGTTTATTTTTTGTTCTTTGGTTAAACTGGGGTTCAGTGCTTGGGCGGGTTTCAGATTTGCTCGTACTTCGTGCCACGCCCAATTTCTTATACCGAACACGAGTGCGAATTTTGGTACGAGTTTCCAAGCACGTCTAGTTGGACCCTGACTTTGGGTTCGAAAAGTTCAGGCTCGAGTTGCTTGGGGTTCAGCAGACTTGATTTGGGTTTTAGCCTAAAAAAGGTCGGGGTCCATCCCTAAAACTATTAGTTCTTTTTGTAGATCAATCGGTTTTTGGTCTCGTCATTACTGCCCGAATGACATGCACTTTGAATACAGCTCTCAGCAGTGTACAACAGACAGTCTTCCACCAAATACAGTTAGAGAAGCAAATGATCTATTACAACTAGCAATTTTAAATGGAAGTTGTGCACATGGAGAACAATGCATTGGTGGAACGGTTTGTGATCCTGTTCAACAACGATGTTTATGCCCTTATGGAACTGTTGCTTTGTTGGGTAATTAAAAAATAATTTTTATAAAATATAAGGTACAAAAATTTTTTTTAAAGAAAATCTATTCTGTGCAAAATTGATTCCACCAGTGGGCACTACCCTTCAGCAACAATTTTCTTATGGTGGTCAATACTATTCTTCACAAGTTCCATTATCTTCCCAAGGAACATCAACATCGTCTCCTCTTAATTCTTTAGGTATTTTTTGAAAAGTCATTTTTACTGTTTATTAGAGTTTGATAACAGGTCGGGCCGGGGTTTTGCGCCCATTAGCCCTGAACCTGGCTATTTTTTCGGGTTTTCGAGGTTTTGTGATGTTAACTTGGAAACCCCAGACCCAGGTCAGCTTGAATAAATAAACAGTGCCGGAACTGTGAAAAATGCCAAACTCCCTTAATTTCCCGTATTTACAGTCCCAATCGGTTCATATTGTGATCAAGAAGGAACATGTGATGGAGGTTCTACATGCATTAATTCTGTTTGTGTCTGTCCTGCAAAAACAAAAAATAATGGAAATAATTGTACAACTTCATTATCAAATTTTTCAAATATTCCTTCTTCAACTTCTGGACAGCAACAATTAACAAAGGAATTGTTTGGTCAAAAAACATTTTTTAGAGGTTTTTTTTGTCTTAATTTTTGTTAAAATTATTTGATTTTTAGCCAAACTGGGCGAACAATGCAATGAATATTTGGGCCTTTTCTGTGCTGATCAAAGCTCGTTATGTTTCAATGGTTATTGCCAATGTATTCCTCCAATGATTGAACAACAAGGACAATGTCAGATGCCTCCAACTAGGGAAGCTGGTAAAAATTTTTTTGAGGGATTTTTTAGAAATTTTAATTTAAAGGTCCTGGAGAGCTCTGCAATTCTGGACAGGTCTGTGTAGGTGGTTCTGTATGTAATCAACAAGTTCCACTTTGTGTGTGCCCTAAAGAAACTGAACTGGTCAAGGGAAGATGTGTGGAAAGGAACTTGGAAAGGGCTTCTAAAGAAGAAAAAATTGAAGAAAAGGTTAAATTTCTGTTTGAAAAAAAAATTTAAGATTTTTTTAGCTTTCCTCATCTTCTACTGAATCGACTTATTCAAATCAAAATAAATTGAGGCCATCAAAAATTGAAGCAAAAGTTGGTGAAAAGTGCTCGTTAAATGCTGACTGCGCGGTATACTATTTTTGGAATAATTTTAATTAAAACCTCGTTATAAGATACACACCCCTCAAATGGGATTACGTGATTAATCTCGCGGAGTCCCGTCCCTTTGTTAAAAAAATCTCGCTACTTGATCCAGGGAATTTTATAACGAGTTCAAAATTTTAAATTCTAGTCCGGTGCTTATTGCAATGGCAATACACAACCACCAACTTGTCAATGCTTATCAACACATATTAGCGTTCATGATCATTGTGAAAAAGGTTTGCTTTTTAATTTCTAGTTTGAAAAACCTTATTTTTATTTTTAGTAATTTATCCTGGCCAAAAAGGATGTGAAACTGATCTTCAGGTTTTTAATTGATTTATAAAAATTAATTTAAAAAATATTTTTTAGTGTAGTGCTGGATATGCTGGTGCTCGTTGTTTAAATGGTCATTGTGTTTGCCCTCCTGGATCATCAGCATTGGAACAAACTTGCATTCCTGGTATAAGTTTAAATTATTTTTCTTTGATTTTCTCTAACGTATAACTCTCCCTTACCATTTAACTAACAAATGTAGGCATACCAAACGCCAAAATGCCAAACCTCGAAGAGCTGCTAAAATATACCAAGCTGGGGAAGTTCGAAAAGTTAAATTCACATTTTGGTATTTCAGCGTGTCTTTTGGAGTTTTGGTATTTTGTTAGTTGTCATCATACCCTAATTTGAAATTCTTTGTTTTCCATAAAAATTATTTTAACACCTTTTCCTTTCCTTTTAACCTTTTTAAATTTTCTGTAAGCAATTGCATGGCCTGGAGAGGCGTGTAACATTTCTCATCTAATTCCTGTATGTTCTGCTGATTCTTATTGTTTTGAGGGTTTTTGTGTTTGCAATCCACCTTTAAGTTTATTCCAAAAACAATGCATTAATTTGAAGAAAAATTTTGAAGAAGAAAATAAAAAGGAAGAAAGAATAAAAGTTAAGCGTCGTCGTTTACATTTGGAAGAATTTGGAGGAAATTTTAACAGAAAAATGTTGAAAAATGAAGTCTTACGGAATAAAGTTGAAGAGAAAAATGGGAAAAATTTGTCAAAAAATTCTTCATTAAAAGGAAAGACAAAAAATTCTTCAAAAAGAATATTTAAGAAGAGCAAAAGGAGAAGAAAAAGAAAATTAAGAGAAGAAAAGGAGCAACAACAAAAACAAAATGAAAAGAAGAGAAAAGCAGTGCCTGTAAGTTTAAAAAACTTTTTATTAACCAAAACTTTATCGTAGGGACTCCAAGGGGGACTCCCCGGGCGACTTTGTTCGAAGGGACTCCCCTCGTATTTTTCTTGGATGCCTCGTTAAAATTACTCTCTCTTTCCCTCTATCCTCTGGGACCCACAATTTTCAAAAAAGTCCCCGGTATTCTCTCGCAAGTTTTAAGATTCTGAACGCGTGTAGGTAAAATATTTTTTATTGTTTTAGAAAATTTCACCAACCTTTCGATTAATTGGCTCCAAATGTAATGAAAATATTGACCATTGCTCTGCTGGTGCTGATTGTTTAAACTCCAAATGTGTTTGTCTTGAAGGATCCTTTCCTGATACTCAAAAGCGTTATTGTCGTCAATACCCTGGAAAAAGTTGTGCAAAAGGTCAAATGTGTACTGATAGATCTGACTGTATTTTTGGAAAATGTAAATGTCGTAGAGGACTTGAACTACAAATTTTTGGAAATATTAGCAAATGTGGAGAGTCTAAAAAGGTTTTATTTTTTTAGTATAGACGTTCAAGGCTCTTGGTCTTTAATCGTACTCAAAACTTTTCGATTTTTTCGGGCTTGGTCTTGGCGTCAGGTCTTGAGTCTTTGGGTCAAGTTTTGGATCTTGAATTTTTCTAGTAGAAAAAAATTCTTGGTCTTGGGGTCAAGTCTTGGTTTTTGGGAGTCTTGTGCTTGAGTCCTAGTGTCATGTCTTGATCTTTGGGTCCAATTTGGTCTTGGGAAGTTTTGCTTCTGAGGTACATTCTTAATCTCGGATCTCGATTTTGGGGCAATGTCTTGGTCTCGAGTTTAGGAAAATTCTTGGTTCTTGGACACCTCGGATTTTTAAATTTAAACACATTTCTAAAAAATTTTTTAACAGAACAATGGAAAAATGCCTTTAGCTGGCCATTTGTGTGCTAATAATGAATGTACTCCAGGTGCAAAATGTCAAAATGGAATTTGCACATGTTTAGAAGGTTAAATAAAATTTTTAAAAAATTAAAAAAATTCTTTCAAGGTTATAATTTATTTCATGGTGAATGTCTTCCTCCTCGTGCAAGTCTTAGCGGAACCAACACTTTCCATGAGCATTCTCTCCTATTTTTTCCAAATTTTCCATTGATGGATTCATCAACATTTGAAATTAAATATAAAGAAAGGAAGGATGATTTAAGTGAAGAAGATCCATTACCAACCAAAACAGTTGTAGCGGGAGCGCCATGTCGACTTTCACTTGAATGCCCTTACAGAACAGAATGTTTGCGGGGTGTGTGTCGTTGTAAACAAGGGGAAACGATAATTAATGGAGTTTGTAGAAAAGCAATACATGAGGTAAGGGAGAAAGATTTTTTAAAGTTTTTTCGAAATTTCGAGTTTCGGCTTTCGATAGCGAAAGTTTTCAAAGGTCGAAAATTTTTGCCTTTTTTTGATTTCGGATTTTCGAAGTTCATTTTGTGTTTTGTATAGCTATGTATGATTGTTTTTAGGTGTTACCTGGTGGCCGGTGTGATACTCAGAACGGTGTTGATTGCATAGGGGAATCTCACTGTTTTTATGGTAGATTATTTATTTGATTAAATTTCAAGAATTATTTTTTAAAGGCATTTGTGTTTGTCTTTATGGACTTGTTATTACTGGACAAGAATGTGTTAATTCCTCATTAATGAAAGCTGTACGTCCAGGTGGAAGATGTATTTTGGGTCAACGATGTACTGGAAGGTCTAGATGTGTTCGTAGCATTTGTCAATGTCCTCAGTTTGTTTTTTTTTAATTTTTGGGGGGTAAATGCCAAGTTGATGTACCAATTAGGGTTCGCTAGGGTTGGGTTTTCATTTTTTGCTTTCGTAAAGTGCGTTAGGGCCCATCTATGTTATCCGCAAAGCAATGCAATAAAATTGGACATCAACTGGACATTTAATTTTTTGGAAATTAAAAAATTTTTTAATAGAGGGCAGAAAGCTGACATTTCTGGAGATAAAGGATGCATCAATCCATCAATTACAGAAACAAATTTATCAAAACCAAAGAAATATGAAACAAAAATGGATGACGAAAATCAAGAAACTGAAGAAGAAGATGGTCAAAAATTACCAAAATTTGTCTATACAATCCCAGCTGCATTAGCAGCTGCTGGTGAAAGAGGAAAATTTAATCAAATTTTGACTGCTAATCAAATGAGTATAAACTTGATGGATAGCAAAACTCTACGTTCACTTTTTGGTCCTTTATTAAAACATTCATTGAGAAGGGAAAGTGGTGAGGAAGAGGAAATTAGATCGTTTGGAGGTTGCAAAGGGTTTGTTTATTTTTTTAATTTTTTAATTTTATAAGAAAATTTTCAGGCCAAATTGTCATGTCCACTCATTTCCTAAATTCGTTTCTTCCCCAAAATCATCAGCATCTTCCATTTTGGCTGTTGGACCTCCTTCACATCTTGACACCTTAAATTCTAAAAATTTGCCTGAATCCACCTCTTCCACCTCTCCTTTTGGAATACCGGGAACTCATTGCGGTGTCTCTATCAATGGTCAATCAACTTCTTGTAGTGGAGGTGCTATTTGTCTTGGAGGAATTTGTGTTTGCAGACCAGGATTTAGACCTTTAAATGGACTTTGCCAAATCTCCAAAGTTGAGTTGGGCGAACGCTGCTTCATTAACGTTAGTTAATTTTTTAAATTAGTGACCGGTAAAGTCGATTTTTCCGGGTTCGATCAGCATTTGTAAATAGAACAGGACAGGATCCGACCGGATTTTCAGGATTAATCCAGTCCAGAAAAACTTTGTTTGCGATCTCTTGTTCTTCGCAAAAAATTTTTCGTGAACGAAAAAAAGACCCGGACTCCGGAAAATCCGACCGGAACCAATCCAGCCTTTAACATTCTATTACAGGAACAATGCAAAAATAATGGGTTTTGTATCAACGGGGTATGAATCTTTTAAAAAAATTTTATTAAAAATTTTTTTAAGATTTGTCATTGTCGAAATGATCAACAAAACATCAAACCTGATGACAATTTAAACAAAAACTTTTTTCATAGCCGTAAATGTGCAAATCGACTTTTAGCTTCAGTCGGCGATGATTGTACCAAAGGTCAAAAATGTGGATTTAATTCAATTTGTGGAAAATATAGTGGAGTTTGTGAATGCCCTATTGGAATGGAAAGAAATGAGGTTTTTTGTTTTTGAATATAATTTTTTTCATTTAATTTTAGGGCATTTGTATTGCTGCTAAACGGCCTAGAGGAACACAATGTTTTTTTTTCTCCTTTTTTTATGACTAAAATTTTTTTCAAGGCTTCAGCAGCTCAGATTGTAATTTTCACGCTTTTTGCGACAATGGCTTTTGTATTTGCTTGGCGGCATATTATCCAATTGGTGGTAACTGTCTTCCACCAGCGCTAGCTGTAGGAGAGGATCCAAGAGCTTATATAGATCCTGACTTGTTGGCTTTAATTCTAAAAGGAGCTGGGAATAAAGGTTATTTTTTTGTCTTTTAGAAGTCGACACCGAGCCCAGGACCGAGGTTTCCGTCTAAGGAGCGGGATTTGCAACGATGAAAGTTCAAATCTCGTATTGACCCCACTGCCCTTTTTCCCGGTTTTCGAGGTTTTATCCAAGAAATTCAGCCTGGGTCAGTTTGAAAGAAAAACCCCCAGATACCAGGCCCGTCGATTTAAAAATGTCGAACCCTTCTTTTTATTTTGATCATTAATTATTTTACAGTAAATAATGAACAAATGGAACGACAAAATATTGAAGGAAAAAACACGGATGATGTTGAATTATCAGAAAAATGGAAAAGAGAAGTGCCTAAATCGTTTGAATCGGAAAATTTGGGTAAGAAAATATTTTCTAATAAAATACATTAATTACACTTTCTCCTATTTTTGGGTTCTTTCTGCCTTCGGGAGCTGATCAAAATTATTTTGTGGAAAAATTGTGTTGTCAACAAGCAGAAGGTTCAGGTTTAACTCTTTTATTTTTTTTTGTTTAAAGAAAAAATTTTCAGTTAAAGAAATCCTTTTCAGTTTAAATTTTTTCACGTTTTTAACTAACCTTTCCTCCAAAAAATTAATTAACCTAACAAAATTGTCTTTTAATTAATCCATTAATTTAATAATTTAATGTTTCCCACTAACCAAAAATTACTTTTAAAAAATTAAAAAAATTTTTTTAAACACATTTAGATCAAACTGGAAAAGAATTTTCAAATAAAAACAATAAAACTTCTTTGAATCAATCAAAATTGCCTCAATTGTCAACATCCCTTATGGTTTTTTAAAAATATTTTTTTTAGTTTAATAAATTAATTTAAAAAAAATTTAGAAGGGTAATGAAGAAACATTTGCATCTGAAACAATTTCTTCTTCTGCTCTCCCAAATTATGCCCCAGAAATGTTAAAAGAAGAAAATGAAAAGGAACAACAAATGACGGCTGCTCCTGGGGCTCAATGCGGTTTTCTTTTTTATAAAAATTTTTTGAAAATTTTTCGAATTTTAGGTCCTCTAGACATTTGTACAGGAGGGTCAACTTGTGTTGAAGGACTATGTCTCTGTCCTGCAGGAACGCGTCCATCCGTTAAAAGTAACAACTGCGAAACGTTTGAACAACGAAAATCGTCTATTCAACAAGAACAAAATAAAAAGGAATATTCAAAATATACAAATAAAATTCCTAGAATGCAGCCTGGACCGATTGGTAAAGGTTTTTTGGGGTTGAACGAGGGGTTGAAATTATGTAGGGACGAAAAGTTCAGGTTCGGGAACTGTCGGGGTTGAAATTTTTAGCGGTTCGAGGTTAGGCGGATCGTGGTCCAATCCTAATTGAAACATTTGAGGCTAATGTGGGAAAGAGAAGAGAATTCCAGATTTGGGGTTAATTTTATATTCTTTTATCCAGGTCGTCCATATGCTCGTCCATCTGAAAGTTGTGCAAATAGAGAAATATGTACAGGAGGTTCTGTATGCCAAAATTCTAATAAGGTTTTCTTAAAAAAATTTATTGAAAAAATTTTTAAAATTCTCTATTTAGATTTGTGAATGCCCTCCAAGCAAATCAATCCTTCGCAATCACATTTGTATTCAATCTGATGAACCTCCAATGCTTAGGGATGTACATGCATTCCCTGGCGACAAATGCAATTCTGAAACAAATTGTGAAAGAGAATCTGTGTATTTTTTTAAATAAATTAAAAAAATTTTTTTATTTAATTTAAAGTTGTGTGGAAGGAACGTGTCGGTGTCAAAACAATGAATTTACTCCAAAAAGTGGAAATTGTACAAAAAGGAGTGTTGGCGATTCTTCTGCATCTGTTCAATCGCCAAGTACTTTTGAGGCTGTTAATGCGGATTATGACAACGTTTTGCCTCCAGTTCAATTACCAGAAGAAGGAAGCAGTGTTGAAGGTTTTACTTTAAATAGGGTAGCACCTCTACCTTTCGGGGTCAAGAGTGCCGGGGATCAGGGTTTGCCGTAGAAGGTATTATATATACTATTATATATAGTATATATAAGGATGAGGTTGATTTTTGGTTCGGACTTTGAGGTCGTGATTTTCTCTGGAGGGCACGTTTGGGGTTCAGGGTTGGCCCCTCGGGTGGGTCTTGCCGTAGAGCAAAACCAGACCCGAGGTTCGGGTTGACTTTTGGTTCGGGGTTTCATTAGATTCTAAAATTGCAGCACAGCAGGCTTTCGAGGTTTGGGTCAGGGTTTCAGGAGGTTGGGTGTTACCCTAGCTTTAAATTTAAAAATTTTATTTGTGTATTTTTATTTTAGTTCAACATCCAAGAATTAGTGGCCCTCCACTCAAAAAGCATTCTTCCTCCTCCTCGTCTTTAATATCAAATATACTTCCTCAATTAACCAAAAATGAGCCACCAATTAAAGGAGTTTGTCCTCCAGGAAATTCGCCAACAATAAGTAGATCAACTGGACAAATAATTAAATGTAATGGAATGACACCAAATTGTCCACCGAAAAGTTATTGTTTTGTTACAGGTTTTTTTGAAGAATTTTTTTTTAATTAAGAAAAAAAATTTATTTTGTGTGTAGGAGACGCCAGTGAAACTTATAACTGCTGTAAATCGTATTAATTTTATGAAATTTTTATATAAATTTTTTGTAAATTTTTAAGGACACGAAATTTTGTAAATCATTTTTATAATTGAAAAATTTTTTTGAATTTATTTCGATACCTATATCCCAGAAAAAAATTTTTATAAAAAGGGAAGGTCCTCTAGAAAAATTAAACTATTCAAACATTAAAACCGTTTTTTATTCATTATTAAAAAAAAATAATTTAAAAAGATTTAAGTGAAAATAATGAGATGTGAATAAATAATTAAAATATATCTGAAAGAGATAATTTAAGGCAAAATAATTGCGCATGAAATCTTAAAAATAAAAAAAGAAAGCACGATTTTCTTAAAAAAATTTTTTTGCAGGTTTTAAATAGGGGGTGGACACACAACGGTTATTAACAGGTACCCCCGGTTTTTTGATACTCCAATCGAAAACAGAAGAAAACCGGAATCAGAATAAACCAGAAAATGTTTAAATTCAAACCCCCGAGGTTTCGTTTCCCCTGTAATCGGTTCGGTTAACCGTTTTTGTGTCCAACCCTATTTTTAAAAAAATTTAAATTAAATATTCGTGTTGTAGACATTCCAAAGCAGTAGGTCTATCATACGGATTAAAATTAAAAATTTGTGAGACTAAATTTAAAGCTAAAGAAGGAAGTTTAGGCGCAAAAATGGTTAAATGAATAGGTTTATATTCTGGAAATGAAACTCGACTAACAATTGCATCTTGAGGCCATAAATTTGCTTTGGGGGTGCCAATTTTCCTAAAAAAATTTTTAAAAATTTTTGGGGAAAATTCTAAAAAAAGAGAACTTACTCAAAAATAACGTGTAATTGTTGCGCTTCACTGTCTGCTTGAAACAAAGCGGTACGCGTAAATAGCTCAACAAAAATACATCCTGCAGACCAAATATCTACACTCGTATTATATTTGCATTGCAACAATAATTCAGGGCTTCTATACCATAAAGTAACAACTTCTGTTGTAAAGGTTGCATGAAGTCCATAATTGCGGGATAAACCAAAATCGGCAATCTGTGAAGGAAGGGGGTACTTTTAATGGGAAAAATTAGAACTTGAACTCGGGCCGAACCCGGAACCAGGTTTTCCGGGCCCGGTAATCTGAAGACAAGACATTTTGACAGAATTCGGGTTTTCCGTGTTTAGAGGTTTTAGCCCTGAAACACCGACCAGGGTACGTTTGAAAAAATCCTCCGAATACCCGGCTCGGAAATTTGAAAGATTCGAACCCCAAAGAAATTTAATTTAAAAAAATACCCGTAACGTCTGATCTCTGTTTACCAAAATATTTTGAGGCTTGAGATCTCGATGAATTATTCCATTTGAGTGGAGAAAGTCCTAAAAATTTAATAATTTTTTAATGAATAAAATTAAAAATACAATTCCATTAAACATTTGTGTTACAAAATGTTTGCATTGAGCATTGCACATGTCGTGGGGTATCTTCTAAAAATTAAAAAAAATTTATTTTATAGTTTTATCAAGTTTCACTTGCAAAAAATCGGCCAAATCCCAATCACATTTTTCACATAAAATATTTAAAGAAATTTGATCATCGCGACGCTTAATAAAAGCGTCATGAAGACTAGAAATAAAATAAAAATTGGTACTACTGAAGAAAAGGGTGCTTTTTCTGCGGACTTATTTTGCGGACTTTTCCTTTCTTTTAAATGTTTCTTTTTTAATGTTTTGTTTGTCTTGCTTGTAGCAAGTTTTGCTTGTAGCAACTAACGGTCAAAGGATTGATTTTTATGTCAATTTGAAAAATATGTGTTCACCATTAATTTGAACATTATAAACGTTAAAATTGACTTTAACTATATTTTCAATTACCCGATGATGAATTTCAACAATGGATCACTGATCTCGGAATGCTTCATAGAAAAAGAATATGTGATTGTGGACAGAAATGCGGGTAATTTCAAACCTTGTCCCCTCCCCATTATTTTTATTACCTAAGATTGTACAAAATGGTCAGATTTCCTCCTTCCTCTCTTTCCTCTATTTAAGCTTGGCATATTCAAACAAGAGACATTGTTGATAAAGAGAAGATTAATTGAGTTGTTCAATATTGAGTTCATTTTATTTTTTCAGTTGTTCAATATTTTTAAATATAAGTAAGAATGTAATGTTTTTACACAGAAATTCATAATGTTATACACCAAATCAATTTTATTTAATTCTTTTTTGGTTTAAATTGTTTTCTAAGGCAAAAAATAAGTGTATGACTATGTATAAAATTAATCTTCTCTTTATCAATGTCACTTGTTTGAATATGCCACAGAGCAAATAGAGGAAGGAGAGGAAGAAGAGAATCTGACCTTTATGTACAATCTTAGGTAAGAAAAATAATAGGGGGGAGGACCTTTGACAGTTAGTTGCTACAAGTAAAACATTTAAAAGAAAGGAAAAGTCCGCAAAAAAAAGTCCGCAGAAAAAGCACCCTTTTCTTCAGTAGTGCCTAAAAATTAATTTAAATTTAAGAAAACCGTAAAACATTTGGATGTTTAAGACGTTGAAGAGCAACTAATGACGCGACCTTAAAAGACTGAAAATTATTTTTTTAACTTTTTTACCTCTCTGATGACGCTTTGGGGAATTCCTTCTTCACTTATTTTTACGGGTATCTTTTTTAGAGCAAACTAAAAAAATTTAAAGAAAAAATATGTGGAAAAGAACCTGTTCGTCTGGATTTTCTTTGTTGCTCACAAGCCATACTTCACCATAAGCTCCTTTTCCTAGGACCCTAATTTGTTTGTAATCATCGTTGTGAGGCCGTAACATTAAAAAAGACCTGTAAAGAAAAAAATTTTAGTAGAAAAAAATATTTTAAGAAGAACATCCCCCCAAAAAACATCTTTTAAAGAAAATTTAATTCCACAGAGTTCAATTTCTATCGATTCCTTGTTCTGATACTCAAGTGTCCTGAATTTTTTATTTTTTGTTAAATGTTTCTCAAAACATCTAATTACAAAATATCTAATAGTTGTTATTTTTGTGTTTCGTCGAACGTGATATTTTATTGCTTGTCGAAAAGCTATTTTTATCGCTTATGGACGTTTTGTAATTAGATGTTTTGTAAGTTAATAATTTATGAAGCAACAAATTTTCGGTAGGGGACCATTGAGTACCGCCGATTGAGTACCGCCGTTTGAGTACCGCCGGTTGAGTACCGCCGTTTGAGTCCCTGGCCGGTTGAGTACCAGACCGGTTGAGTACCGCCGGTTGAGTCCCCACCAAAATGGGGACGTTTGAGTCCCCGCATTTATTTTTAGGATCTTGAGGGATTAAGCAAGATATCTGGAGATTTGGAGAGGGAAATAGGTGTCTATGGTGAGATTATGGGGGATAATGTTAAATATGGAAGGATTTCGAGCGATTTTAAGTGATTAAAGGGGATATGGGCGAATTTAAGGGTGGTTGGGGTATATACTTTGGGGGTATATTATATATGAATAGAATGAGGGATTATAGGTACCTATCAAAATACCAGGTACCACCCCTAAATTGGTAACATACACGTAATACTTCCGTCCCGGGAAACATACATACACTTAGTGCCTTTTAATCCAAGTATTCGTATACAAGTATGCTTAATTCCTATTTGAGGGATATAATCTATAATCCCTCGTATATTCCTATATGTATAATGTACCCCAAAGTGGTATCATATCCGCAATACACCCTTACTGGGAATCATACATAATTGTGTAAATCCTAAAAATAATCACGGGGACTCAAACGTCCCCTTTTTCGTGGGGACTCAACCGGCGGTACTCAATCGGCGGTACTCAAATGGCCAGGGACTCAACCGGCGGTACTCAACCGGCGGTACTCAATCGGCGGTACTCAATCGGCGGTACTCAATGGTCCTGTTCCCACAAATTTTTGCCAACCCGAAAATGTTTGCCACCACTTCATTCTGCGGTTTATGTGTTATAAAATTTGTTTTACGAGTTTCGTTGTAAATTTGTTTAGCTTTTTTATTTTCTCAATTTCACGTGTCATTTAATGTCAATTTTTAGTCAATTTTTTAATTTCAGATTTTTTTAGCAAAAAATGGATTTGAGGCTATTTTTCCTCATTACAGCTTTAATTCCAACAACTTTAAGTTTCTATTTGCCCGGATTAGCTCCAGTTAATTTTTGTGAATTGAAGAATGTGAAGCCGACATGCCCTGTATGAATTTTTTTTATCCTTTTTAAACTTTAAAATTGCTAGAATAATGTCACACTTTTTGTTAACAAATTGGACAGTGATCAATCTGTTTTGCCCTATGAATATCACAGGTTTTTTACAACTTTATTTATTTACACGGTGCTGGTGTGGTTTCCCTCCCAGACAATTTTTTTGTTTATTTGCAAAATAGCCATTTCTTCCTTGCATAATTTTTCTCCGTGGCATCATTCAATCATTGTGTGCTAGAGTGACTGACTCTAACTATGCTAGAGTGACTGATTGAATGATTCCACAGGGAAATTACGCAAGGAAGAAATGGTTGACTATTTTGTTCATCAAAGGGAAAATTGGGGGTGGGAGGGAAACGAAATTACTAATTAAACTTCATTTTTAAGCTTCGATTTTTGCCTCGGTTCAGAAGACGAATCTCCCGTTGAAAATCTTGGTCAAGTTTTGTTTGGTGAACGTATCAGACCAAGTCCTTATAAGGTTTTTATTTGGCATTTTTTAAATATTTTTATTTTTTAGATTGCATTCAAAGAGGCGAAACAATGCGCTTTTCTATGCAAAAAAGATTATAATATGGATAATAAGGAAAATCAACAGCGATTTCGACTTTTACAGCGAGGAATGAGGCTTAACTATCAACACCATTGGTAAAAGATTTTTTTAGGGTTTTTGGGAGCTTTTTGGTTTGGGGCGATTATACTCCCTTATTTTGGGATTTGGTCAGGTTTGATTCATTTTGGAGGACCAACAACGATTCCGACTTAAATTTTTTAGATTTTTCCTGATTTTGCCCCATTTTCGAATTATTTTTTCTTTTCTTTTCGCTTCTGATTTTTTAAAAAAAATTTTCTAGGATCATTGACAATATGCCTGTAACCTTTTGTTTCATTAACCAGCAAAGTATGAATGTTTGCACAACAGGATTCCCAATGGGATGTTTTGTAACTAAAGAAGGGAAGCCTAAAGATGCTTGTGTTTTGGATGTATAAGATTTTGTTTTTAATTTCATTTTCTTTTATTTTTAAGCCGAAATATCGTCAACCTGATAGTTATTATCTCTTTAACCATGTTGATATTAGAATTGAATACAGGTTGAATTTTTTAACTTTTTGAACCGAAATTTTCCTTTTAAGAGATTTGGGCCTCGATTCCAACTTTCTCGATGAAAAAATTGGTGGACGCATAATTCGGATTAAGGTTCAGCCTCGAAGGTAATTAAAAACTTATTTTGTGGAATAAACTCAAAAATTTGGTCATTTACAGCATAAAACATGAAAAGATAGAAGAAATGAATTGTGGCCAAGGAGTTGCTCCACAACCTATTTCTAGCGGCGATAAACAATTTAACGTGATATATTCTTATTCTGTTGCTTGGGACCAGACAGACGTCAAATGGTCATCTCGTTGGGATTATATTCTTGAATCAATGCCACATACAAACATTCAATGGTTCTCAATTATGAATTCTTTGGTTATCGTTATTTTCCTTTCTGGAATGGTTTGTTTTGGGGAGTTTCAAGATTTTTTTCCAAAAATTTTTTTGTTAGGTTGGAATGATTCTTCTTCGCACATTGCATCGTGATATTGCTCGTTATAATCGTCTTGATGACGAGGTTTTGATTTTTTGAGAATTCAACCTTCTTATTTTCTAGGAAGATGCTCAAGAAGAATTTGGATGGAAACTTGTTCATGGAGATGTTTTTAGACCTCCACGTAATTCTTTAATGCTTTCTGTTTTTGTTGGTGCAGGCAGTCAAGTTCTTCTTTGCGCTTTTATTACTTTAGGTTTCCTTTTTTTAAATTTATATTAGAGTCTGAACTCTTCACGTTGCCGAGCCTATATCCGCATTTTTTCTTTCACGCTGCCTGAAACAGAGTTTTTGGTTTAAATCCCTAAATCCGGATTTTATCAAGATACCCGGTGCTGGCTCGGAAACCTGAGCCCGCCACGGATTCGAACTCTAATTTGTATTTTAGATGACTTTCAATAAAAAATTTTTTTAAAGCTTTTGCCTGTCTCGGATTTTTGTCACCAGCAAATCGTGGCTCTTTAATGACTTTTGCTTTGGTATTTTATGTTTTGTTTGGAATAGTTGCTGGATATACATCGTCTCGTCTTTATAAAAGTTTGAAATATTTTTTTTGAAATTTTTTAATATTTGTTTTTTTAAGCATTGGAAGGACTTGCATGGAAATCAAATATTCTTTTGACAAGCTTCTTAATTCCTGGGTTTGTGGTTTTTATTGCCTTTTAATTTTTCTAATTTTAAGAATTTTGTTTGGCGTTTTCTTTGCTTCTAATTTAATTCTTTGGTCAAAAGGATCTTCTGCTGGTCTGATTTTTTTCCGAAAATTTTTTTTTTAATTTTTAGCTGTTCCTTTTGGAACTTTGTGTGCTCTACTTTTTCTTTGGCTTTTTATTTCAATTCCGTTGACATTTATTGGATCATATTTTGGTTTTCGAGCGAAGGTTTCTTCTTTTCTTATTAGAAATTTTGTTATTTTCAAAATTTTTTTAGAGAATTCAAACCCCAGTTAGAACAAATCAAATTCCACGCCAAGTTCCTGAACAGACATTATATACCAAGCCTCTTCCTGGAATGTTGATGGGAGGAATTCTTCCTTTTGGATGTATTTTTATTCAGCTCTTCTTTATTCTGAATAGTATTTGGTCCCATGAGGTTTTTAATTTTGCGAAGAATTTTTTTAAAAATTTTAAAGGTTTTCTACATGTTCGGCTTCCTTTTCATCGTCTTCATTATTCTTATCATTACTTGCTCTGAAGCTACAATTTTGCTTGCTTATTTCCATTTGTGTGCGGAGGTTAGTTGAATTTGTTATTTAGACAACTTTAGGGCTGAGGACTTGGTAATAGTGTTTGGTATTGGGCATTTTATGGCCCCGGCTCAGGCCTTTTTCGAGTCCTGGCTCCGCCTAAGTTGGCTCTTGAATTTTCAAAAGTCACCAGCACTCAGCACTGCTGACTTTTGAAAATTCTTTCCAAATTTTTTATTTGGGTGAGGAGTAAATAAGGGTGTTCTTGTTTTCTGCTTGTCCTTTTCCTCATTTTGTTTTTCAAAAAAATTTTTTTTCTAAAGGATTATCATTGGTGGTTCCGTTCATTTATGACTTCTGGTTTTACTGCAATTTATTTGTTTATTTATTGTGTTCATTATTTTAATTCAAAATTAACAATAACTGGAATTGTTTCAACAATTCTTTATTTTAGTTATACGGCTATATTTGTCTTTTTATTCTTTTTAATGACAGGTTTATTTTAAGAGAAATTTTAATTTTTTTAAATTTATTTTTTTAAAGGAACAATTGGCTTCTTTGCAACTTATTGGTTTATTCATAAAATTTATAGCTCTATAAAAGTTGATTGAGGAGACGATGCCATTCTTTGGATAAATTAATTGGAGAGAGATGTGTGCAAAAAAATTTTTGTGAATCAAAATAAAAATCTACTAAATTATGAATATGTTTTTCAGTCACAATTTATAAATAAGTATATCTAATCATTTTTGGACAGGAATTCTTTTTTTTTGTTTAAAAAAGATATGTATATAGTCAAACCCTTGATTACTTAAGATTTTAGGAGGTGGTGTCGGATTGAATTTTTTATAGTCCACGTCCTAAATTCGAGATTTTTTGGCGATCTTTGGGTTGTTTTAGGACCGAATTAATCCAAAAAATAGTTTGGCCAGATTCGGTCCGACTCTAGTTAGACCGGGTTAGGCTTCGAAAAATCTATTTTGCCAAGAACTTATGTGTTAGGGTGTTGGTCCTTAACCCCGGGATCTCCAATAGTTTTATTCCCTTCCACGTTTTCTAAAAGTTCTTAGAACTCTAATATTGTTTGACTATACATATATTTTTTTATGAATCATTGTTCATTTTATACCGAACAAGTTTTTTTAAAAAAAGACCTGTGTTTATTATTTCCCCCTCATTTCCTCTTTTTTTAAATTTATTTTATTTCGTGGATAATAAACTTGTGGACTAAAATTTTTTTTTTAAACAGCTAATACAGTTAGCTTTTTCAATATTTTTATTTGCTTTGCCTCATTTATGCCGTCTAATCTCGCAAGCGCTTTTTTTTGTCTGATTTTCTATTTTGGACATTTTGTCTTTTGGTATTTTGTATATTGGCTTCTTCAAATTATCTACATCTCTATTTGCACTATTTCTCTATTTTCCTTTTTCTGTTTCCTTTTAATTTTTAGACTGCATTTCATAATGTCTATCAACATAAAAATATCAATATATATACATTGTAGAACGTTCAATTTAAAATGTCCACCCTGTAGCCTTGACTTATTTGACAAAAATTTCGTCTATTTTTTCGAATTTCGACCTCTTCTGTAATTAAGTACTGTATTAAATTGAAATCGAGTCTTTGTATTGGACTATTTCCCCTTTTTCACATATGCTTTTACTTCGTTTTCTCACAAATTTATGGCTTTTTGTTTGCCACGTGGCTCATTAAATTTTATTTTATTTGCATATTAAATTTTTATTAATTTTTATTAAAATGCAGAAACATTCAAAAATTCCAAAAATGGCAAGCTCTTCAAGACGTTCTGATTATGGTGAAGAATTCATTGAGCAACTAAGAAGAGATCGCTTCAAAAAGTCGTATATTCTTGTTAATGGAGTCAATAGCAGTGAAGAAGAAGATGAGGAATTGGATTTTGACGAGGAAGATGATGAAATGGCAAGTTATGCAATGGGCGGACATTTACAACAACAGCAACAATTTCAACAACCTCCAAGGTTATTTTGAAGCTTTATAAAGGGGGACGTTCTCATTTTTTAGACCAAGCTCTACTCATTCATCACGTAGGCCTCCATCAGTTGCCGCGTCATTATCACAACGGACTGGTGGTGCTTTTGGATTTGATGCAAAGGACCTTTACTTTTTTGGTGTTCTTACTGAAATAACGGACAAATTTACGCCGGTTTTGTTTATTTTTTATATAAAATTTAAATTTGTTTTTAGGATCGAGCTGCCAGATTCATCGCCAAAAGTTCTCCACCGTATGAATTTCGAACGTTGTCTTCAATTGAAAGAGTTGCTTATTTGTTCTACTACTCCCTTTATGAAAGATATTTGAATGTGCCAAAGTTTCACAATGTTTTTAATAGGTTTTGTTTTTAAATTTTTATTTAAGTGTTGGTAATTGAGGCTAGTTCATGTATAGGTAAATAAGCGGTTTCTTCGTTACGTTATATCTAGTATTAGCCAATTTGCTTTTGATTGGTTCATGGTTCAGTTGGAAACGTTCGGGGTTTGTCAGACAATGTTAGCGGTTCGAATCCTCGTATTAAACACTTTATATAACCCATGCTTTTTGCCTTAAATTACATTAATTTTTAAAAATAAAATATTTTTTTTTTATTATTTTTAGAGAGTTTTTCAAATACACGAGTGCTGGTGATTCCGAGCGTGGAGCATTTTTGAAGGTTTTATTTTAATACAAGAATTAATAAATATTTCTCTTTCACAGATATGTCGACATACACTACAAGAATACAAAAGACGAATGCTTGAACGGAATAAATTGGCTTATAAACTGGCACAAAAACATCTTTTTAGCGATGAAAGAGCTACTTCCGGGAGCAGGTTTTTTTCTTATTTTTGTTTTTAATTTTTAAATATATTTTTATAGAGCAAGTGATAGGCCAAGTTTTGCTGATGGTGACAGTGAAAATAGTTTGCAGTCTTTGGCTAATGGTTTAATTTTTTATTAAAGTTTACTCAAGCTTTCTAATCTTGTTTTTAGAGCTAATGTTTTATCGAGCACCTCATGCTCCTATTCATTTTGCTGCTAAAGGACGCATTGTTTTTGTCAACCCAGAAATTGGAATTAGTATTGTATGCATTGAAAATACCAAAAAATTTTACAAAGACTCCGAGGGGCGACGTTTTGTTGAGACGTTTGAGAACTTTAAAGGTGTGCTTATTTTTCGAATTTTTTTTCTTGACTAATCTTTTTCCTTTAAATTTTTTAGGTCCTTTATTAATTGACTATACTCCACCACAAACTCCACTTTTGTTTATACAACGCCAAATTGAGAGGATTTATTCGTCTGATGTTTACCGAGCAAATCCAAAATCTGGCGATGCAAATGATTGTGTTCTTATTTGGGCTTTATTAGAAATGCTAGTTAGGCAGCAAGGGGTTCGTTTTCGATTTTTGTCTTTTTTAAAATATTTTTGAAAACTTTAAGAAAGTTACTGGACCTGATTTGGCTCGTTTACTTTGTTCCAGTGATCGATATACTCCTTTTTCAAATCAAAGCTTTTTGAGGACAGAGTCACAAACCTCTATCAAATCATCAGTTAGTGTTGATCCGCAAGCAATGGAACGGATTACAAGATATTTGCTTGGAGGGCATATTGAGGTTTTTTGGATTTCTATTTGCTTCTTAAAAATCATTTACTCCGTTATATATAGTATATATACTACCAATATTGTTTCCCGTCCCGTTTAATCGCAATCTCAAAATTATCAAAGCGTCCTTATTCGAGGTGTCGATTTTTGCGGACGCGTCTCACTGATTCAATGGTTCCTAAGTTTTGTATGCAGTAACATTAGCCTAATTATCTTGCGAATAAATAAAGTGCCTACGTAAAGTAAATTGCCAAATATTTTTAAGGAAGCGATTGAAAGCGCAATTGGAGATGGATTGTTTTTTGATGCTTTAATGCTTGCTCATCGTTTATTCCGTAATGATAGACACCGACAAGAAACAATCGAAGCAAAATTGATGGCTTATAGATCACCCAATCATCCAATAACTACTTTAATAAATGTGGCTTCTGATTCGCCTGTTCCTTTATTGGTGGGTAAATTTTATTTTTTATACTCTATTTTTGGGTTTAATTGGGTTAAAAAAATAGTCATTTTACGATTTTTTTATCGATAGAAAATTTTCTTTTCATTAACCCTTTAATTTCTTGCAAATAAAAATTGTCTGCCGTTGGTGGGGTTCGAACCTTTATCGTTTTAGTAAGGGAGGCAAGCACCTTACCAGTTAGACTACGGATGTAAAATGGTCATAAAAATTTTTTAATTATTAGCTTTCCTTTTAATCAATTTTTATGCTTTTTTAGAATAATCCAACGACAGATGACACAAACGGATGGCGAGCCCACATTGCTATAGTTCTCGCCAATCTTCAAACACAAAATGCAATGAATGCAGTATATCAATTAGGATTGTCTTTAGCACAGAAAGAATTTAATGCTGCTGCTGATTTTTGTTTTTTGTCTGTTAATTTATTGACGGGTTATAATTGTTTTCAACCACCAAATGATAGGTTTTTGTTTTAAATTTTATTTTGTAATCCTTAAAAGCATTGGTCCTTAAGAGCAAAAATGGGCAGGAAGTGCTCTTTTGATACTTTGAGGTTTACCAGTAGGTAAGCGAGTAGCTCTTACTTGAATTTTACCAGTCGAATTCGGGTCTGGGGTTTGAAACAAACAATTTCGTGCTCCTCAGACTCATGTCAGCATACTCGATTATTGACAAGCCTCAGAAATATCAAGGGGTACTCGTTGTTCATTTTTTGATGGGACCAATGTTCCAATTTTTAAAATTAAAAATTTTTTTCCTTTAGTGAATTAGATGACCATCCAAAATATCGCAAACATATCAGCCTTTTAAATGCTTCAATACCCGATGATTCTTTAAATTCTTGTATAACACGTTTTGGGTATGTTTTTGATATAGATTTTTCTGTTACAAAAATTTTTCTCTTTCAGTTGGTCTGTATTCGATTATCAAGCAACAGAAATTTACGAATATGCATTAAGATTAGGTAATGGAAATGCAACTACAGCTCTTTCACAGTCTGATGATTTTGTTCAAACAAAGAGGCAATATGTTCAATTACTTGGAGAACTTGGAGGATTTGATCATTCAATTGAACTTTATAATTTAAACGAGGGCAAAGGTTTTTGAATTTATTTTTTAAGTAGATGGAAAATGTGCGGGTTCTTTTCCTTAATGGAACCTCGATTTTAGAATGTCCCATAAAAGGTATAGCGAGTTAAGAGTGGATAGTCATGATTTTCTATTTTTTTTCGACTATAACTTTTTTAGTTTTCTTCCGATTCAATTAATTCTTGTATCAATCGAAAGCTATGCGGATTCTTTTTTCTGTTGGGACCTTTATTATCAAAATATACAGTAAAAAGTTATGTCCGGATAAGCGCGCGCTGATTGATTTTTCAATTATTATTAGTTATAACTATTCAAAATTTCTTATAATCCGAATGATTCTCATTCCATTAAGAAACTCTTGATTTTTAATCTTTTTAAATTTTAGAACAGCCAGGACGAGAACATCCTCACAATCCTAATAAATCATGGGCACCGCCAAAATTGCCCCATCTTTCTTCACAATCAATTGGAGAAACATTTGTAGCATCCGAAACAATTTCTTCTTCACCACCAAATTATTTTCCAGAAATTAAAAAAGAGGAAAAGAAGAAGAAAGAAAAACAACAACAAAAACAAATTACTGCTTCTCCTACCCAAGGTTTTTTTTTAATTTATAAAGGAATTTTGAGGTTAATTTTATTTTTTCTAGTCAAATCTTATGTTCATCGTCCACAGGAAAGTTTTGTAAATAATGAAGAATTGTGTACAGGAATTGCTTCTTTTCCATCACAAGATTTTGTAGGAGGAGGAATTCCGCCGGAATTTCCACCAATTCCACCTTATCAGCACCAGAAACAACAGCAACCATTAACAATAGAAGAACCACCAATCCTTAAAGTTGTTAATTCATTGCCGCCTAATAGTGAACGTTCAAATCGTTCTAATTCTGAAGATAGTGGAGGTGGAAGAGAATCTTTTGAAGAAAATGGTTTCTTTTATAGTTTATTTTTTTTAATTTTTGATGCGGACGTATCGGGATATTTCAATGTACGAATTGTTTCCCTATTGATTTTGAGGCTTACAGCCAATGGTTCTTATTAGGCTGTAGTACATTGCCCTATTGAAGAAAATAAATTTTACATTTTAGAACCAGGGATTATTTTTCTCTCAACAATCCCGATATGTCTGTCCCAATATGTCCGCACACATTTTAAAAATTTCTTTAAAGTTCGCCGTCCAAGTGGAGGTGTTGGAGACTCTTCTTTTTTACCCCAACATGAATTTCCTCTTCCTCCTTTTAATAATAATAATAGAAGAAGAAATTCTTCAACTTCGTCAAATGTACTTCCTCCACAACCAACAAAAATTGTTCAACAACATCCTCCACTTCTTCAAAAAACAAAAAATGAAAAAAATATAAAAGGTGAAAATGAAAATATTGGAAGTTCTTCAACTACTGGAGGAAGTAGTGGAGGTGGAGGTTTTCTTTCTGGAAAGATTGGTGGACTTTTTTCTAAAATTACACAACTTCAAGGACATAATACAATGAAATTACCTGATGATAAAAATCCTGAGGTTTTTTAAAAATAATATTTTCTAGGGGTTTGGAGGCAGTTCACTTTAGGCGTGGATTTTGAATTTTTTGGGAGTTTCGGGTTTTTTTAACGTTTTATTGGGTCCGAACCAGGTGGATTGGTTTGGATCATCCTTCAACCAAAATCCAAAATTATTTTTCTATTAAAAAATTCTTTTCCCACAGATTGTATGGGATCCTCAACAAAATAAATATGTTGATAAATCTGGCCAAGCAATAGAAGAAATTGCGCCTCCTCCACCTCCAATAATATCAACTTCAACAACAAATTTACAACCAGAAAGAACAACCCCAACAAGTTCTACCCCAATATTTGATGATGAACAACAACAACAACAAATGTTTTCCTTCTCCTCATCATTCCAACATCACCAGCAATTCCCTCCAATGCCTAATATTGATCAACAACAACCCAATGTTGCTGCAACTACAAGTAGTAAACCAACAAGTGCTGCTACTTCTTCTAGGCCATTCCAAGGGGTAAAAAATAATTTTTTTTTGTGGTTCTACGTTAGGCCCATACATACCAGAGCGGGGACCCATAAGACGGTTCCTGTCCCATTCCAACTTCTAATGTTTGCTTATGCTATTTTGGAACGCATACAACATTGATGGAAGCATAAAAGCTCTTGGGAGACGTATTTTTTAGAGTAGAGCAAAAGTTTTTTTTTCCAAAGGATTTAAAATTTTATTTTTCCTTTTTTTAGAGAAATAGATATGCAAATGCTTGGAATTCTTGAATAAAATTGGAATAAAAACAACAACTAAACAAAAATGTGATATAAAGAAAGAAATATTTTTTCTCTTATTTGACGCGCTGACTGTTTTGTAATTTTAATTTGTAATGTTTAATTAAAAATATAGGGTGATAAAAGGATAGGGGATTTTGTTATTAAATGTTTTGAATAGATTTTTAAATCTGTTGAATATTTATTTAATTTATTCTAATTGACATTTTAGAAATGATGTGATTAATTAATAAATAAAGCAGGAGATCACACACTCAAATTGGCACTCAAACGGCTTTTATTGACAATTTACATTTTGAAATAACAAAGAAGAAATAGTGAAGGAAAAGAAAGAGAAATAATGGCGGCCATATTTCGTGCCCGCTTAACTCATCGAATCCTTAACTCATCGAATCGACCAAAAACGCTCAACTCATCGAATCGGCTAAAATTCCTTAACTCATCGAATCGGCCAAAAACACTCAACTCATCGAATCCTTAACTCATCGAATCCTCAACTCATCGAATCGGCCAAAAACGATCAACTCATCGAATTTTTCCAAAAGGGGACGTTTGAGTCCCCTGTTTTTATTTTTCTCCCGAAAGGGCCAACTGAATCTTCGTTGAAAAAATTTTTTGCTGCTATGGAGGCTAGGAAAAAGGGCTTTTGGGCATAATCGGGGTCTACTGGACTAATTTGGTCCGGTTTTACCCGGTAAAATCTCCATCATAATTTACCAGGAATGTGAGAAAACATTCTCATTATCTGATAATGTTTTCACTGGCCGCATAGACGTGGATGAGTGCCCGATCAACTAATTAACAAAATTAGTTGAAACCCCAAAAGAAAACAAAAAAAATAAACAAAACAATAAAAAATCTAAAAAATAAACACGGGGACTCAAACGTCCCCTTTTGGAAAAATTCGATGAGTTGATCGTTTTTGGCCGATTCGATGAGTTGAGGATTCGATGAGTTAAGGATTCGATGAGTTGAGTGTTTTTGGCTGATTCGATGAGTTGAGGATTCGATGAGTTAAGGATTCGATGAGTTGTAGGGTAGCCCCATATTTTGTCGATATTTGCTCAGACAACAAAACCATGCGTTGGTTAGAGAAGACAAATTTGTTTTTCCCACGGGAGAGTGAGGGAAAATATCGATTCTTTTTCTCTGACCAGTACATGCTCTTGTTTGTCTGAGCAAAGTTTGCAACAACGATCAATAAATGAAGAGGGATACTTTTTTGAGCATTCATTGTTTTCCTTAACTTTTCCTTCACATTTTCTTTTTTATTCCAAAGAGGGGGTAAACAAGATTTTTATTTTTAGACAAAAAATGTAATTCATTTGGACTTTAATTGTCCATGCTCAACATTTCAATGTCCAAGGCACAATTGCCTCAACATATTCCAATGCTTCTAAACAACTACAATTTTTCAACCAGTGCATTTGATAAGGTTTGGATTTTTGTGAAATGCTTCGATTTTACTAAACTTGTCTTTCAGGTACTACAAAACAACACATCAGGCTCTCATCAAATCATCTACCAACTTCAAATCCAACAAGAAACAACGCAAGGACAAAGCCTGAACCGTCAAAACATAATTGTCTCTTCAAATGCTGTTGGGGCTGTTGATCATCAGGTTTGTAAGAGTTTTTTTTTGTTAGTCCATGCTCCCTCAGCACCACGAAACCTTGTTAACCGATAGTTTTTGTAAATATTGAGTATTGTCTAGCTATACTCATTAAATGCCAAGGGAACCCTAGAACCCTTGTTAACCGACTTTCTGTTGCCGACACACTGGTAATACCGGAACGTGGTGTAGATACACTGGGCCCGTCAGGCATTTCTATGCTTCCTTATAGGGAGTGATATTAGTGATCCTCTATCATCAAAACCATGCTCTTTTTCTTTACCTCCTCCCCGTTTCATTTTTATTTTCTTATTTTTTAGAGCTGTGTCTTGCTATTTTCGTGCAGCAGCCCTAAATCTCAATCATGCAGTTGCACATGGCTTGTGTTTATTATGAACAAGGACAATTGGATTTGGCTATTGAAACTTACAAAAGAGCGATAGAATTACAACAAAATTTTCTTGATGCTTATTGCAATTTGGCTAATGCTTTGAAAGAGAAGGGACTGGTTATTGAGGTTGAACAAGTTAGTTTCTTTTAATTTGGTTAGATCATATTGGGGATTTTTTTTACCTTTGTGTGTGTTCTATCATTTCAGCGGGACACTCTCTTGACTGAAATTTTCAAGAAGGGCATATCTAGTGCCTGAAGCTTTCATTTGGGTACGAGAAAGGTTTTCGATTATTGTTCCGGTTTTCCATTGGAGTTCGAACTCCCTTTCTTAACAAGTGAGCCTAACGTTCTACCATTTATGCCACGGGTGAAAAATGCCCCAATTTTCTAGTCAACTAATTAATTTGCCTCCTATTTATTTTTCTTTTTTTAGAACTGTTAGATGAACGATGGTGGTCTTCAGACACTGTTGGCTTGTATTTGGCACAATTTCAGTTGCCTTTCACTCCCGCCCCCTCCCTCTCTTCCCATTTTGTGGACAAAACTTGCTGTGTTTTAATACAACAACATTACTTTATTTTTTCATTCAGTGCTTTGCATGCTTTGCAACCAAAGAAGCTGCTGCATCTGGACTTTATCAATCTGGTTTTGTTTCAAAACGTTAGTTTCAGTTTTCTTTAACTTTGAAATGAAATCATATTTTTAGCAGTAGAGGCGGATGTGGAGCTCTCTTCTCCAACATCAAAAGCACAAGTCCCCTTTAGCATATTGCGTGCGTCCTTTAGGCGTGTTGCGTGGGTTTTAGTTTCGTGGAGGAATGTTCCGGCAATGTGCGGGGGAATACCATGCATCTGTGCGAAAGAATTGTGACAATGTGCGAACGTTCCGTCAGATGTTCGGGGGAATGTTCTAGCATTTGCTTCGGCATCTGTAGGAGTTCTTCTGGCATTTGTTTGGAGTCTGGCTTTGTTGCAGTTCTAACGGCAATGTATGATATTCTTCTGGCAGTGTTTGGAGTTCTTCATCTGTTTATGTGGGGGAATGTTCCGGCTAATGTGCGGGGGAATACCATGCAACTGTGCGAAAGAATTGCGACAATGTGCGAACGTTCCGTCAGATGTTCGGGGGAATGTTCTAGCATTTGCTTCGGCATCTGTAGGAGTTCTTCTGGCATTTGTTTGGAGTCTGGCTTTGTTTCAGTTCTAACGGCTGTTGTATGGAATTCTCCTGGCATCTGTTTGGAGTTCTTCCTTCTGTGTGGGGTTCTGTCTGGCATTTGCGGCGTCTTCATGGGACTTGTTGCTTCTATGGTACTTTGATAACTGCTCTTCAGCTTTATGGTTAGTTTATATCTGTGCCTAAACAAGCTCATTTAAATTATTTAGTGCCATGCCTCTAAGAATTGTTCAGCAGCAACACAGAAAGAAGAACAAACTCAAAAATCAACAAAAAGAAGAACAACAAATCAAAGAGAACAAAGAAGAACAAAACTCAACAGAAAAAGAACAAAAAGTCAACAAAAAGAAGAACAAGAAACAAAGAAGAAGCAAAATCATCAGAGCACTTTGGACGTCCATGGAATCTTTTTAAAAATTTAAAGGTTTGTTTTTTGCCCGTTTTTTACACAAGCAAGTTTTGTCCGCAAACAATCCCTGAGTTAATCCGTTGTAAATCCTCTTTTCCAAATTTGATTATGAAGTGTTTAGCAATTGTCTGGTAAAGGGAAGGGGTTTTAAACATTTTTAGAGCTTTCAGCATGTATCTTACTTGAAAGATGACAGAAACTTGGAAAGAAACCAAAATGGTATTTCGCGGACGATGAGCTTGCTAGGCTTCCATCAAGAATGTCAATGGATTCAGCTGCTAAACTTAAATATAGAAGAGAGGATTCATTCAGGTTTTTCTTTTTCGTCTGGATGAAATAAAATTTGTTTTTCTAGGAAATGGCTGAACGTTGAACCACAATATTCTACAACACAGAGGACAACTGGCAAGCATTCGCTTCAACAAAACGACAATTGCAATTTTGCGTGTGTTTGGCTTGTAGATGAGCAGTTATGAAGTTTGAAAGGTTATTAATTCTTTTTCGGGTCTTTTGAGTTTAATGACTCGAATTGGATCCCTAAATTCAAAATTCACATTTGTATATGGGGAAAAAATTTGAAGGCCTTTCGTAATGACAGTTGGTTAAGTTGGTAGCGGTTCTGGATTTTATTACAATAGGGTGTATGTTCAATACTTCCTGGTTGTTTTCTTTTTTAATTTTTATCAAACAATTATTTTCTTTTAGATTTGAGCCCAATTGATGACGACGAGCCTTTGGACAATTTTTTTATGTTGCTTTGGATACAACACATGCTCCTGAAACCCCAGCTTGAAAGGTTATTTAATGAGTTTAAAAATTCTTTTAAAAAGATTTTTTTAACATGTTCAACTCGGATGAACACACTCATTGGTTGGGCATTCCTGGCGCGAACAGTCGAGCATTGGCAGCTTTTGGCTGTGGATTTTCGAGATGGGAAGGAAGGCGTGATTGAGACAATGGTAGTTTTATTTATTTTTAGTTAGGGGGTTTTGAATGGATTTCTGAATGGTTTGGGGATCTGAAATTATTGATACAACTGAGTTTTTATCCAACATTTATCCCGACATCGTCTAAGGGCATACTCGTATTCTCCAAAGAACTTTTGAAGCGTTGTTCTATTTATAACAGACTGTTTTCATTGAAGTTTGCTCTTTATACTTTAGGTAAAAGTAAGGAGAAAAATTTGTGTAATCCCTCCAATCTACCCATTGCATCGTAAATTTACGGAGATAATGAGCTTGAAATAAGGTCTAAAAACCACGCAAAATTCTTTTTTTTTCTTTCAGACTTGAACAATTCCCAACAACAGCATCAAAAGAAAAGCAACAACAAGATGGACTTCGATGGATTGCAAGCGAAGTGGTGCTTCTACAACAATCCTTTTTTTTTGCTTTTTTTTCTTTTTTTTTTAATTTGATGGGTTTTTATTTTTGTTTTATAAAATACCTTGGTTTTGTTTTTATTTTGTTTTGTAGAAACCTAGACGGGACTCAACCGTCCTGACTTGGGAGTTCCGTAATTAATCTCAAGCAAATGATTACCTGTTGTTTAGAAAAATTATAAGAAAGAAATAATGTATTTAGAGAAAAAAATAAATATAAGTATTTATGGCCAGTTCGGTGCTCATTTTGAGAGCGGAATGGCTAAAATTAAAAACCGATTTTTGTGAAAATTAAGAATTCCTTTAAATTATCGATTAGTATTGATTTTATCGATCTTTTTGGAAAGAATAACATTTAAAAAATAATTATCAACTGATATCGATTTTATTGATTAGTATCGATTTTTTGAAAACATAAATTTTTCAATTTCCCTCATCACACTCAACTGCCGCACTCTCCGTCCTATTTAATTTCTTCAATTTTCTGTCACCAGACTCAAGTGTCCATTACTCAACAGAATTAATTTTTGGGATAAACTGTCATTTATTTGGCACAAGTGACATTACGCCAAATTTTGGCAAATTTTTAAATTGAATAAAATTTAAAATTTCCCACAAAATAAAAAATAGCTTAATTTTTCAAAAAATCGATACTAATCGATAAAATCAATACTAATCGATATATCGATTTTTTAAAAATTGTAAATTTTCAAAAAATCGATACTAATCGATAAAATCAATACTAATCGATATATCGATTTTTTAAAAATTGTAAAAATTGTAAATTTTCAAAAAATCGATACTAATCGATAAAATCAATACTAATCGATATATCGATTTTTTAAAAATTGTAAAAATTGTAAATTTTCAAAAAATCGATACCAATCGATAAAATCAATACTAATCGATATATCGATTAAAAAAACAAAAATTTCAAATAAAATTTTTATCAAAAATTATTTATTAATTACACTAAATGAAAGTGCCGTCATAAAAATATCTTGTTCATTATTTAGGGTATACAAAGATTCTTCAAAATTATTTTTTTCTTCATCAAATATTTGTATTTTTTCGAATTTTGGGAATATTTTATATATTCCTTCAAAACAAAAAGCAAAACAAATTTTTGTTGAAAAATAACCTCCTCCTTCCCCTTCCCTTCCTTCTCCAACAATTTCCTCCTCCTCTTCTTTTTGTTTTTTTATTCCTTCAATTTCTATGGGTAAACAATTTGGACCAAAAATAAAAAATTTGTCTGGATGTTCAATTGAAGTATTGTTGTTGGTGTTGTTTTGGAAGTTTTGATAACATCCGAGTGATAATTCGCCAGTTAATGTACCTAAATATTAAATGGACAAGTTAATATCAGTGGGATGATTACCCAAAAACAAATCTGAAAAATTTTTTTGGAAACACGAAGTGCTTTTTTAGTCAACACGTCGACATCCCTGGTGTTTGTATGGGAGTGAGAAAAATAAAAAATTCCGGTCCTCCAAAAAAATTAAAAAAATTTTTTAATCCTTTCAGAAAATACCAAAAAATCATTTCTAAAGGCTCCTAGGAAGGTCTGACCATCCAATGAAAAAATGGTTAAAAAAATGCCAAACCCCTCAAAAGATTCTCAAAAAAATTCCTCGTCATTTTTAGAACACCATAAAAATTCCAACAAAAAAAGTTAAAAAAAACCTCCAATAGAAAAATAAATTGAAACTGAAACACAAACAATTTCTCCAACTTGAACAACATTAAAATCATTATTTGTTGTTGTTGATGTTTTTGGACTAGTTTGGTTATCAATTTGTAATGCTAAATAAAGGAAAAAATTTAAAAAATTTAAAAATAAAAATTAAACCTATTGTAAGTGTTGGCAATGCCATTTGACGAAGAAAAGAAACTGATGATAAAAGTGAGCCAACAGGTACTTGTCCATTCAACTAAAAAAAAAGAAAATTCTTCTATTTTTTTTAAATAAAAAAATTCTCTAAAAAATTTTCTAATAAAAAATTTCAAAAAAAATTAAAAAAAAATAAACAGGATCAAATTAATTACGGAAAAATTCATTTACACTAACAGGGATCGAACCTGACTGAAAAATTTAATTATCCGACAACGCTAACCAATACACCACCGAACCTCTATAATTTTTCACAAAAAATTAATTTACATAACCAAGCGAATAAGCTCTATTACAACATATTGAACTGGGTAAAAGGTACATAACTCATTAAAAGAAAAGGGGGTTCGAGCCCCAACATCTCAAAACGATTTTCTTGCCCAGAAAAAATATAAAAAATTAAATAAAAACAAACATTTAATTGTTCAATCCTCCAATTAATTTCCAAGTGGTTCAATAAATGCTTCTCAATTTTTGATCGAAGAAGGGCAATCTCTTGCATTTGCATTATATAAGAAGCACATTTTGTTACTCGATGAAAAGATATTGATTTAATTTGGGTACAACAAGGACACAAAAGGGATACCCTAAAAATTAGATTTTTCAAGAAAATATTGTATAAATGGCATAAAGGTCCGCAAGTTTCATCCACAAGTCATCAAGGTCCAGGGTGCTGTGGAGGGAGGGTAGACCTCACTATAACAATTTTGAAATTCAATCCCTGGATACATCCTTGCAAGTCATACGGTTTTATAAATCTTTACAATGTTTGAGGACAGAATTTGTGGACTGTATGAAAAAGGAAAATTCACTCCACCCTCCCATTTTCCGAAAGTAACATAATGATGGGTCGGGTTAAGAAAAAAGCTGGCCGAGTTTTGAACTGAATTTTCGAAAATTTCGAGGTCTGGTTTAGGATTTCAAGTCGAAGAAATGTCCTGGTTTTACCATTGGATTTGAGTAACCAGGCCCTTCCCTACGTAAAAAACTCGCCAAATTATTAAAAAAACCTGCAAATTTCTTTAGGTTGTACGACAATTGTAGTCTTTTTATTATTCGAACCAAAAGTTAATTGTGCTTCATTTTCAGTTTGATTAGACAAATCAATAGCCACATATCGACTAAATGGCCCATCTCCTGCCAATACTTGCCAATTAGAAACACAAACTGCTGGGACTATAGTTATCGCCAATGGCAATTTTGCAAATCGAATATATTCCTAAAAATAAAAATTTTGAAAAATTTCTTGAAAAATTGAAAAAAAACCTCTTGATTTTCTGTTTCCAAATCAGCAGTGTAAGTAAAGGCTAATTCAGCCATTAACAAACGCTAAAAAAAGTTTTTTAAACGATAAAATTTCATTTTTTTTAGTGTTCAATATATTTTGTGGATTTTATTGAAATATTCAAAAAAGGAGATTGGGAGAAGATTGGACTATGGAGTTCATACCCATCATCAAATTTTATGGAAGATTAGTCCATTTTATCACAAAATTGCCGGTGGAAAATTTTATTTTTTAAACAGCTCTAAATAGTAGATATCCGCAAAAGTTTGCGGATATTGGGTATACGCAAATGTCGATCAGTTGCGGATTTCTGATCTGTTTGCAATTTTTAAAAGGAGGTAAAAATATCTCTATCACCAAACAAAATTATTAAAAAAATATTTTCTTACCCCAGTATAAGGAATCAAATCATAATGATGTTGTTGTTGTTGAGGAGATGATATTGTTGTTGCTGAACCTGTTGTTGTTGTACTTGTACAACTAATATTATCATCATCCGAAGTTTGTTTTAATAAAGGAGTTGAAACTGTTGAATGAATTATTTTTTGCTGTTTTTGCTGTTTCTGTTGTTTTTGTTCCTTTTCCTTCAATTGATATAAAGGCAAATCTGCATCTGATATTATTGTTGTTGATAAATTTGAAGATGTTGGTCTACGAATATATACTTTTTGTTCTACACCAAATTTGTTTGTTGAATTTCCTCCTGATTTTTGTGCTTCATTATTGTCTAATGGTGTTGCTGTTGCTGCATCTTGAAAAAAACAAAAAAATTAAAATAAAAAAAGTTAGATTTTTGCGGACATTTTAACAGGCTTTTTTTAATAAAAAACAAACCAATTCCAAAAATTTGAACAAAAATTTCTCGTCTTTCCCCAGCTTTTAAACCATTCAAAATAAAGTCAAATTCATTTGAAGATTCTTTCAATTCATCATCTATCCTGAGTAATTTAGTTCCAGCAGCAACCTTAAAATAAAAATTTTTTAAAAAATTTAATCAAGAAAAAATCTTTTTGAATGAAATTGAAGCCAAAAAATGCTCAACATATTTGAGCTAGAATTTTTTTACTATAAATGACGGGGGCTTATTGACGATACTGAGCGGAAGAAGACACTTTCAGCAGGAGAAAATTTTTTAGCAAAACGTTCCTAGTTGTGTCACTCAATTGACGTATTATTAAAGTTCAATATCTTCAACTTGCATGACCCGGGCCAAGATTTTACGGGCTAAAAATTCGAAAAAAACAGGATTTTATCAAAATCCCGACACATTTAAAGCAGAATCATCAGTGTGGGAAATCCGACCGTGTCCGGAAATTCTGTCCAAGCTCGATCACTACCTTTAATTTAAAAAGAAACCTGTGGTTGTTGTATTTTTATATTTATTCTTTTAATTCCAACAGAAGAACTTGAATTATACAAAGTCAATTTACATGGAAAACTTTAAGAAAAAATTAAATTTAAACAAAAAATTTTTAAACATGAAAAAAAAACCTTTGACCAGAAAAAACACACAATTCAGCTATTGCTTCATTTGGATTTTCATAAAGTGTTGGCGAACGTTTAAGTGAAGTTTCAATTCTTAATAAAGGCAAATTTGGAAGTATACGAACCGAATAAAATTTTGAAGATGATTGTAAATTAGATGTTGTTGTTGTTTCTTCTTGTGAAAATTTACAAATATTCCGACAACCTAATAATTCACAAGAATAACCAACAATTTTGAGCGTTCCTGTTGACCTTAAAAAAATTTTTTTAAAGAGTATCCTTAGAAAAAATTTAATAAAAATTTCTTAAGAGCTAAAAATTTGTTTTAACAAGGACCCTTAGAAAAATTTTTTTAAAAACCATGTTGAAAAAATATTTTACAGGACCTTTAGAAAAATTTTTTTCGAAAGTCGCCTAGAAAAATTTTTCCAGGGGTCCTGTTGAAA